TTGCGTAATAAAGAACGTGCGCGCACCAAACAGCTACCCGAAATCAGAGCGATGGAGAATCCCGATGAAGACTTCAATATACATGATCACTGCACTGAGGTGTCAGAGGCTGAATATATATCGAATCCGAGTGCATATCGGTTTGTGTGCTGGAATTTGAATGTGAGTTGCCTTGACGCTTTTCCTACTTTTAGTTTTCAGCTGATTAGAGGTTCCTAATTTTTGCAGGAACGCGGCGCTGTCGGTGAAACTGTCTTGCATCTCTGTCTGCTGAACGCCTCCTCGCTGCATGCCGATCTCGCCAAGCGCCTGCTCAAATGGTATCCCAAACTCATACTTGATGTGTATATGTGCGACGAATACTATGGCGAGAGCGTTTTGCACATCGCAATCGTCAACGAGGATCCAGCGATGGTGAAATATCTGCTCGATGCTGGCGCTGATGTGCAAGAGCGGTAAGTGGTTAAACTTTGAACTTTACTCTTTTCACTCGGCTCAAAATATCTACTCTCCACCGCTAAACATAGCTGCTGCGGCGCCTTTATGTCCGCGGAGGATCAGAAAGCCTCACGTTACGATTCACCTGATCACGAGTATGTCGGCGTGCAGCCGATAACCAACTATGATGGCTACGTCTATTGGGGCGAATACCCGATGAGCTTTGCCGCTTGTCTGTCGCAAGAGGACTGCTTTCGCTTGGTGCTGGCACGCGGCGCGGATCCAGATCTGCAGGATACCAATGGAAATACTTCACTGCATATGTTGGTGATCTATGAGAAGATCGAAATGTTCGATGTCTCCTACGAAGTGGGTACCAATATTCATCTAAGAAATATGCAAAATCTCACAGCGTTGACATTGGCGGCGAAATTGGGACGCGTTGAGATGTTCTTTCACATTTTGAGCATAGAACGTGAGATCTACTGGCAGTTGGGTAGCATCACTTGCGCGGCGTATCCGCTGTCCATGATCGACACGATCGATGTGGAGACGGGGAATATAAACAAGGACTCAGTGTTGAATTTTGTGGTGTTTGGCGTGAGTGAGCTCGTAGCGTTGTCCATTAGAGTATTAGCTTGCTGATTTTTTTTACACTTGCAGGACAAACTGGAACACTTAGAGCTGCTGGATGGCGTGGTGATCGATTTGTTGAAAACCAAATGGGAATCCTTTGTCAAGTCGCGTTTCTACAAACAATTCTATATGTTCTCTTTTTACTTTCTCTTCTCGTTAATCAGTTTCATATTACGTCCAGGGCCGTCCGAAAAAAGCGATGAGGCTGGCGATGAAGCCGAAGAAGTGTCAGTAATGCATGCCGGAAATGAAACGGCACCGTATCATGGCGGCAACAAATGGTTAAAGCGACTGATAAAGCGCGCGATTGACAAGATGGAGTATAGTGAGTAAAAAATAAGCTAACGACACTTGAAATCTTAACTGATTTCAGAAACTTTTGTAGAAACTTTTTGGCTGAACTTCACCGACTACTTTGACGATAACGACGTAGAGCTGGGTCCGTCTTGGTGGGCCAGTTATGCTGAGTGTCCGCTAATGAACATGGAATCCGACCTGGCTAAGGTATTGTCAATTGCAAAGCTGTAGGGATGCACCGAAAATTTAACTTCTCATTTCAGTTACGCATTGTCGCAGAAATCGTAATATTTTTCGGCTCGATTTTATACTTGCTAGCGGCGCTGCGTGAAGCGCGCTTTCTGGGCTACAAAATGTTTATTGAAAATATGGTAAGTTACTCGTTGATTTTCTATTTCTTCTACACACTCCTCATCAACACACAGATGACCGCACCTTCGCGTGTCATGTTTCTTTTCTCTTGTGCGCTCATGATGACCATACCCTGGCTGAGGTTATCCTGTTCAACCGAGATCGATGACCATGTTGCAGTCTTTATAATGCTCACCACAGCGCCTTACTTTCTATTCTTTTGTCGGTAAAGATCCTCGTACTGCAATGAATCCGACCAACTTGTGTAATTCATATTTCCACTGTTCTAGCGGCTTTAAAACCGTCGGCCCTTTCGTTGTGATGATCTATCGCATGGTCATGGGCGATCTCATACGATTCGTCTCCATCTACCTTGTGTTCGTGATGGGATTTTCGCAAGCCTACTACATTATCTTCCTTACATTTGATAATCCTGCCACTCCAGAGGAAATCGACGATTCTGAATCGAATCCAATGCCCTCGCCAATGGAATCTATTGTGGCTATGTTTTTGATGTCGCTCACCAATTTCGGCGACTACTTTGGCGGTATGGGCTCAACGCAGCATGAGTATGAAGCGAAATCACTTTTCTTTCTCTTCATGGTGATCGTCAGCGTGTTGCTGGTGAATATGTTGATTGCCATGATGGGCAACACTTATCAGAAGATCGCCGAGATACGCAACGAATGGCAGCGTCAGTGGGCGCGCATTGTGCTGGTAGTGGAACGTAGTGTACCGCCAGCTGAGCGGCTGAAGAATTTCATGCACTATAGTCAGCCTATGTCGGATGGTAGGCGCGCATTGGTGTTGCGGTTAAATATGAGCGTGAGTACTCGGATTTCTTTTTAAGTTTTAGTTTATCATAGATTCACTTGAAACTCTCAAATTTAACCTTTTTGTAGGACGAAGACAAAGAAGAGATGAAGGAAGTGCAGGAAATGAAACGTATACATCAACGCTTCTCCAAGAAACGTCAGGTTGAGCGAGAGGCGCGTGCGCGTAAACGTCAGGAGGAGTATGAAAAGTTCTTTGGCACGAAACCAGCTG